ACCTCTGCTTCACAACTACTGCCCGGCAAAAGGAGGGGGAATATCCCCACTTGTTTCTGATGCAGACTGGCATGGGCATTTTGGCTGCCTACCCATGTGCTTGTTCGTGTGCTAAGTACAACACATTGGAGTGGGCTCAGTTAATTGAATCTGCTCCACATTCCAATTAGAATGCTCCACCACCTTACCACCATGTGTTTTAAGCTCCCATACATTTTAAAAAGACTGTGGGGGCACTTTAACTAAACCTCGTTGAATGAGGTTCAGATTAAAAAATAGCCACAGAACGCTTTAAGTGCATGGGGCCTTAATACATTAGTATTCACGTACTGTCTGGGAACCACGCTATTTAAAATGAACCCCCAAGCACATGCTATAGGTAGTCTTTAAGTCCACATTAATTTGCAAAAGTTATTCTCAATTTTGAATATAATAACTGGGGTCGTTTGACCCCAGTACTCCTTCCTGCCATGGCAGGGGGTCGGACTAGATGATCTACTCAGGTCCCTTCTGACCCTAGAAACTATGAAACTATGAAAGTTTTGCAAATGACCTATTTTTCAATCCTACTGAAACAGAATCTCCAACGACTTGATACAATCTGCAAGAGAAGGCTGAGAGGTGATCTTGTGGCCATCTACAAACTCATCAGGGGGGACAACAGGAAACAGGGGATATGATGTTCACCAGAGCACCCATCAGGGTAACTAGAAACAACAGCTACAAATGGAAGGAGAGCAAATTTAGACTGGACATCAGGAAAAAATTCTTTACGGTGAAGGTTGCCAAAATATGGAATACCCTTTCAAAGGAAGTGGTGCTGTCCCCTTCCTTGGTGGTATTTAAGAGGAGACTGGACAAACACCTGGCTGAGGTCATCTGACCCCAGCACTCTTTCCTGCCCAGGTCAGAGGGTTGGACTCAATGACCTAATAGGTTCCTTCCAACCCTAAAAATCTATGAAATCTATAATCCTGTGCCAAATAGCAGGCACTTTTCAGCATAGCCTGTGGGATGATGGAAAGGTTGTTTGTTCCAGGATAAGTGCTGCTCTCAGAGGGCCCCAGAGGTCTTGTCCACCCAGATGAGAAGGAATGAAAAGAGGAGTTCAGGAGCAGCCTATAGTAGCAGGGAGCAACCTAGGACAAAAGCAGAACAAGAAGTGCCAACCTAGCTACTTCAGGGCAACTGGCATAACTGTCATGCCACTGCTGCTGCCAGCAAAGCCTGGGCTCAAGCTCTTGGAGGGCCAGTGCGACTGCTGTGGTTCACACTGTTCAGCAAAACAATTAATACAATCAATTACATTTCAAGAATGTCTTGTCTTCTGAATCATTGGACCATTAACCTGAACACCCCCAGTGTATATTCCCACCATCAACACTGCCTGAATAATCCCCAGGGGAGTAATTAAAAGCATATCACATGGAGAAATGTGTAATGCATTATTGGATCCTAATAAATACAGCAACCCTCTAGCACACTGACAGTGATTTAGAAAGGAGCTGCTACATATGACAGAAAGAGGGAGGGCAAGAAGGGAGATGTGGGGGTTGTTGCTGCTAATCCTCCGCTGTAAATTTACAGGACATACATGTATCTCTTTATCCCTTGACATCCTTAGTGAGGCTGAAGACAGGTAGCAGAAGTGAAGAATGAGCTCAGTCACTGAAAGTCAATGGAACTTAGGCTCTTCCATCTATTACTTCTGAACACTGGACCTAACTGTTTAAGGGACTTAGGCAACAGTGCCGAGTGAAAAAATGCCTAAAAAAACTTTAGAAGTCTGGACCTTCACCCCTCCACCAAAGTTTCCCATTACTGATACTCAGTGGGTATTGCAGTTATTAATAATGCTTCAGACAAAGCAGACGTTATGGGAATGCCAAGTGTTACAAAGGCAGGTTTAAAACATCTGGAGTAGTGGGATGGTTTAGTGTAAGAGGCACCCATCATTGCCAGCCCTCTGCTGACAAGGCCTCACTCAAGAGGCAGTTCTCTCACGGCCATGGAAGATTATAGAAGGGAAATAATACTCGGCTCACCTGCCTTTCCTTTCCTTTCCTTTCCTTTTCATTCCTATAAATCACTGTCTTCTTTGAAGGCCTTGATTTAATCTGCACATTGAATAAGTGAACTATATTTTGCTAGGAGTTAGGTAGTCATGTAAAACAGAAACATGAGGCTAACATCTTACTATAGTTCCTGTGGGCAAATATAATGACTAATATTGTTCCCCTCCTCTCTGCTGTGTGCTTTGTCCACCAGCTGTAAATCTACTTAAGTTGGCTAAATATGTTCTTCAGAGAATCGTGGAGGTTTGAGATGCACAAGACACAGGAGCATCCCATCCATCCCTGTTCCCCACAGTCCAGAACTCGTCCCGCTGATTCCACTAACCTTATCTTGTCACCTAGTTGCTGATGGCTTGTAGGTTAACACAGTATTCTGGCTTGCTGCTCTAAGGAAACTATACAAAGCTCCTGTCCAGTCAGTCCCACAGCATTCCAGCAGACTCCTCTGAAGAAAAACTGCTGAGGTGGCAGCAGATTAACTTTCAGTGGCACAAGTCTAAAGCCACATCCAAAGTCCAGCATCAGCAGGCCAAAAGGCAATTGTTCCCTGCCATACTGCAATTTCCTCATTCTACAATTCAGCCCCCCCATTAATTTTCATAGGTAGCAATTTTCCTGCTAGTTTTAAAAAGGTTCTCAAAGTCCCAGCACCCACGAGTTCAAGGCAAGCACCAGTGCCCCAGTGTTCTTGGTGCTTGACAGACACAGAACAGACAGACCCTGACCTGAACAGCTGTATGCATTAAACAAGAGACAACTGATGCATACAGACAGGCAGCGATGAGACAATCCTGGTCAGTGTGACAGGCAGTAGTTAAACAGCCTTAACACTGCTGAGCTTTAAGACAGGTTGGAAAAAAATACCAAATTTGCTGGTTTGTGGATGCTAACAGAGCATGGCAGTGTCTGTTTGCCCTCTATCCACCACAAAGTGGATGGTGGAGGCTGGCATCCTGAGCCAACTGGAGGTGGGAAGTCAACCATCCCACAACTGAATGGGAGATGCTAAATAGAGTGGGGGTAGGTTGGAAAGAGCTTTCAAGTGCATACAGGCAGCTTGTATTTGAGGTGACAGAGAAGGGGGAGCCAGCAGAGGGATGCACAGGGCTGTGACATGTTCAAAGAGATATGCTAAGAAAATGAGCCTTGAAGCAGTGTTCTAATGAACACAAGGGGCAAGGCTGCATTTGTCATAGCGAGGGAAAAGGATGTTGCAGTAATAGACACATGAGAAGTAAGAGTCATGAAATGATCAGCCCTTGGACGAGGGTTTATAAATTACAAACTAGGCCGCAACTAAATCAAACTACAAACTAAGGTGCAAGATACCTTACTCAGTGCTTATATGTTTGTGCCTCTGCGCATACTTATTTGCAGTGCCATGTTAATGATTTTCAGTCATCCTAATTGTATTATCTAACTGCTAGCCAAACTTGCAGGCAGGTCCTCTGCCTGACAGATCTATCAAGTTGTTCAATAAGCAACCACCACATGAGCAAAAGGGAGAAACAAATATAAAGTTAAGGGTGCAATCAGGTGCAAGTGCTAACTGTCACAATATGCATCTGCTATATTTTATATGGAAGCAACAGTTAATACAACTGGTGCTGAATTATAGCACACAAAAAAAGAATAATAATAGACCCTCAGAGCAACCTCACTGCATGCCCCCCCAACCTTCATTTATTCAGTTTCAGAATAAACAGATCCACTTGATGCTGAAACCAAGGCTTTAGGATTCCTATTAGCTCAAGAATAAATCCCACAATGAGCATGGACCTTAAAACGCATCCTCACAAATGAACTAAAACAAACAGGACGTTCCCTACCTACAACACTATCACTAGAGAACATAGTTCCTACCTTTCCATCCATGGGGAAGGGATGAACACAAATACACAACCCTGGAGTCCCTGATCTGTCATGGCAATAGTTTATGTGAGGTTGTACAATACCTAGCTCCCACTGATCTGAACCCTACATAAACGCCTAGGCCAGGGCTGTCCAACTGGCAGCCCGCGGACCACATGTGGCCTATGAGAGGTTAGTTAAGTAGCAGTCCCTGGGCTCTTGCCCATCTGCCAGTCCTCCCACTGCCCTGGCTGCAAGAGCAGCCAGTCTCTGGGTAGCCCCTTCCCCTAGGCAGAGAGATGCCTCCCTCTCATGCTGCCCTGTAATAACCACACTGCAGCCCCTTAAGTGTAAATGTCAAGATGATCAAACATATAGAGGATTGCTGCCATTGAACAAAGCAGCATCTGCTTTCCCCACTTGACCTCTTTGAATCATATCTCCCTGCCTGCCCAAGGACTATAGGGGAAGGTTGTGTACACTGAACACCTAACAGTCACAAAAGAACATTTCTCCCATGTTGTGAGGCATCATATGGACACTGTCATTAGGTGTTATCACATAATGACAGGGACACAATGATCAGAGCTTGTGCCTCTGCACATCTGCACTGCCAGCTAGCTCTGACTGCAAAAAATGAAACCCTGCTGGCTTTCATAAAATTAATGTTTTGACAAGGCACACTTTATAAATTCAAAATGATGAAAATAATGTATTAATAAATTGATGGTAGATTCTTTCTACCCCACTAAAGCTTTTGGGAAGAGCTGGCATGGTGAGAGCAGGAAAAGGAGGTACATTCCAGCAGTGAGTATGTGACAGACAATGGAGATGGTATTTTTCTAAGGAAGAAGCATAAGTTAAAGTAGCCTTTCTTTCGGATAGAATAAGAAATGTAATGTCAGCTTAAGGAACTTAAAAGTTGTTAGCAGTTATATATTACCAGCAACATATTTTACACTAGGCAGCTATGAAAAAAAAGAGTCATAAAAAATGCAATTAAATGTCTGAACTGTTGCTATTTTGGAAATTAAAACAACACACAGTATCCTTGCTGCAGCTTATATTACTTACTTATGACTTGTGCACAGTTATTTTCACCAGTTTAACCATGCTTCTTTTCCATAAAAATCTGTTGTTAATAGGTCTCTTGGGAAGTCTGAAAATAACAAGATCTGTAATAAAAAAATTAATAACAGTGAGAGCAAACTTAAGTTAGAAAAGCTTTTTAGAACACATTAAAGGTTCTATTTTGAAAAAGACATATTTGCACAGAAAACCTCCGCTGTTTGATTTTCTACACAGCACTGTGCAGCAGGTAAATCAAAACCACTACTCTTTGAGAGAAAAAACAGAAAAAGTGCAAACTCCAGGAGAGGCAGCATGAGCATGGCACAACATCACTGCTGATGGTCACTGAAAACAACACAGAATCGATTTTCTGTTGCTTAGTTTCTTAAATTATTTCTCTTGATTCAGTAATGGAAAACAGTAAGGGCTGCCATGTAACAGATTGGTTACATGCATATGATTTCTACATACAGATGCATTCAATGCAATAAAACTTCTAAAGACAGTACATTTTTAATCTGACTCATCAGAAACAACCGAGTAGCTGATTCGCGTGGTGCACACACTACAAATAGAAGGTACGCAATAAAGGACACAGGAATAACCCTGGTTCTACAGGATTTCCTACCACAAAAACTAGGCTGCCTTCTGGTAGAATCCATTGTTCTGTACCTCTGTGCTTTCTAAAGCTAACAATAAGCATTCTCCAATTAATATATAAAATCTGTCCTTTATTTATAATAGTAATGTATAATGCCTCTTAGGCATGACCTTTTTGCTATATCCTGGAACTAGAGTCACAGTTTTCTGCCATGCAGTGTTGAAAGGTCAAATTTAAGAAATCACAATGTTAGGATAAGTATGATGAAGTCCTATGGGTATGTCGTGCAGGAGGACATAACAGACAATGACCATGTGCCTTATGACATATGTATCTATTAATCCTGCAGACTAGGGTCCTGGCAGCCTTGGCTCTTACCAGTTTGCCTTTTCTCCACTGCTCATCCACTTAGACAGACTTCTGTTCACCTGGTGGCTCTGATCCTGCAACAAACATCACAGAGCACTGACAATTGTGATTCTATGCCAGGAGGCCTAGAATAACCCACTATGAGGAGAGATTTATCAAAAGCAGTGAGCTCTGGCCACTCTGCATGGTTCTTAGACTGGTGTGGCCCACCAGCTGAGTAACCTGTGTGCAATCCCTGCACTCAAGGGAGTGCGGAGGTCACTCTGTCCCCATCCCCTTGAGGTCCACTGCCAGTTCATGCCCTGTAGTGGACCAGGCTGTGCTCCTAAGGGTACAGTAACAAAGGGTGTGCGTAGATTAAATGGGGGCCCTAAACTGAAGTGGTGGTGCCAGGAGTTTCTGTGTTCCAGAGGCAGAGCTTGGGCTGGTGGGACAATGCCCCGATAGTACTCTGAACTGTGCCCCAATCACTGCAGTCTCACTGTTGGTTGGGACATAAGAAAAACTCTCCTCCCTCATGCCTAAGAGGCAACAGATTTAAAACCAACGCTCTTTTTAACCTGGAATAACCAATGTAACTCACTGCCAGAGAATACCGAGACAAAAAGTATGGGTAACAAATATCTGTTGTGCAAAGACCAATCCCAATTTCCCCCCATGAAGTAATTACATAATCATAATTTATGACATGTTCTGCACCTTCACATGCAGCACCTTGCAAACCAGGCTAGGCAGACTACTTATCTGATCCAAGTGGCTGTGCCCATGTCCCTCCACCTGACTAAATCACTAGATTTGAGAATCCTGTTGAGATCAAAACAAGGCATAATATGTAGGCACTAAACTGCCTGTCTATGCCCAGATTGCCAGGCCTCCAAATGGAATGGGTCACTCACATTTCCACAATCTCTACAAAGCAGCGCAAATGTCTGGGAGCCTGTTGGCAATGTTTACTCTGCCTTGATCCAAAGCATGATATGCTTTCACTGCCACCAGTATCTCAGAAGCGGCACAGGACGGACATGAAGCCAAAGGACAGATGTATTTGGAAAGTTAGACAAAGGTGAAAAGATTTCTGCTCTAATGCTTTATGCCTAGCATTTTTCTATAAGACTGTGATAACTGGCAGGATATTATCAGTCTCTTCCCAAAAGACCATTAATGCTTCTTCCTCTTTGCTGCTGACTCTAGCCAAAGAAGTCTGGATCTTATGGGTGGTTGAAGTGAGCTGAATAATTTTTGCTGTTATTGAAAATCCTGACATCTGTAGAACAAGTATGCCATGACCACAGGATACTGATGACAGGGGAAGATAAATAAATAAAAAAAAAATAGAGTAAAAGCCCTTGATGGCTTCTCTAGCTTTGAACCTCACAACTATTCTTGTTGCAAATGCTGCTGCTGCTGCTGCCGCCTTTCTCAACATTAGAAACATGTAAGTGAGAGGGAAATGAGACAGGACCAAGGGCTGGGATATATCACTCAGTAGGTCTCTCAGTATGCCCAGAGGAACCATACAGAGCATGAGATCCACTCAGAGAAATGCTGGAAGCAAAGTTTGCTGCAGGAATAAATCAGTGACCCTTGCAAGACAAGTACTAGTTTAACTGTTTTCCCATCGCTCAGCTGTTGTGGGAAACACGAGGCAGCTGTGGATGCATTACACATGGTTATGGTGTTTTAAGATTAAAAGGATTTGTTGCCACATTCTGTATGAACCCTCAAGACTAATGGTGTAGAAAGCACAGGGGGAAAATCCCTACCCTTTGCAAAATGATGGAGATGCAGCATCTTAAAGGAGCTCCTGCCATACACAAAGGGAATGGGCCCTGCAGAGAGAGCTGAGAATGAATGAATTTGTTGGCCACCACCCTGACTCCCACCACCACCATGTTGGGGAGACTGAAACACTCTGTAAAACTCTAGCTTGACTAGTAAACAAGAACCCCCAGGCATACAGTCACTGCAGTCTGTAATACACCATGGACAACTGGACAGCTCACCATGCAAAAGCCTGGGGAACAGGTCGATCTCTGATAGCTGTGCTTGAGGAGGCATGGGTATGCTTCTGAGTGCTGCATGCCAACCCTCCAAGCACTCAGAGCTCTCTTCGCTTGGACAGGATTTGTAACTGTAGCTGTACTGAGGAAAACCTGCATCTATACTATAAATTTTAGATGATTCTATGCCTGCTGCATCTGTGGTCAAGATGTCATGCCTGGGAACTAAGACCGACCATTTTTTAAATCTTTTCTTTCAGCAGAGACAATATTTTTAATCCTATGTAAGTGCAACAAGTGATACAAAATAAAAATTCATTTGACACTACCAAATACGATCACCCCCAAAGGCATGATGGCCATGTTTCAGCCAGCTACATGTGCAACAAAAGAATTTAAAGTGTTTCTGTTTTCATAAAGGAATGTACAAGTTTCCCAATGCCATGAAAACAACTCTACAAAGGAGGAATTTTCACCTATTGGGGCAGTTACACGTTGCTTTCATTCTCCTGAACTCAAGGTTTTCTACTGTGGATAGATATTTTAGAAACCAAAACTTTTGCTACAGGATCTGCACAAAGACCAACAGGTTATGTGGCTATTGTAGCTCTCTTTATTTAGTGTTTGTTTCTTAGTTTCCATCAGCCCCCATAATGTGCTAGAGGGAAAAAAGCAGAAGATGTTCATATTGTCATGATCCAAGAAACTTCTAACAATCTGAGACTCATAATACTAACGGTAACAAGAAGCATTTGGTTAATACCTACTGTACATGACGCAGTCAAAATTGTCTGGTTTTAAAAACCAAAGACTGCTGGATATTTTTAGATGATCTGGCAGCAGTGAATTTTGAGACCCAGGTCTCTGATAACTGATGGCAGCCTCAATGGATTCAGAGCAGAATGCTGGTACTGACAAAATTAAAAGATTAGAAGATCATAAGTTACAGAAATGCTCTCTTGCTCTCTCTCTCCGAAGAGCAATTTTGTGTAACTCAGAACTTTCTTAATACACAGAGAAGTAGATGGTTAGCTAATGAAACCGACATCTGGTGCTCTGAAAGAGCCAAGAATGTTCTTGCAGAGGTCACAGGGTGAGCTGCAGAGTCACAGAATAAAACGAACAGAGAATCTCATGTACTGAGTATCATATTTCTGAACATATCCTTGACATCCTGTCATATACAAATCACCACTAGTATAAATGAGTCATAATAGCAGTTCTATTTGAATGTTGTGCTTTAATGTACAACATTTCTCCAAGGAATGTACAGTAGTTCTCCAAGGAAATTCCTATTTTTGAAGAGTCTTGAAAGCTACCCATTTTTTTAAACAATGCGCTCAATATGAATGGTAAAATCTAACAATTTGAACCTTATTAAAATAGTCACAAATCAGCAGACAGCCAGTACAGTGGTCCCAGGTAGGACCATGAGCATAATAACAAGACACTTCCTTCTTTGTACATATAAGTACAATATCAGCAAAAGAGATGGGTCAAGCCAAATGGATCTGGAGATGTGATCTGCAACATTAACATCCAGAATTTTCTCTGCATCACCAAAGGTCTCCCAGATACGGTATAAACAAGTCTCCCTGCCTGGAAGCCTCTTCAGTTTTGCATGAACAGTCAGATGCTGACAAATGCTGTGAAAATGGGAGAAGTTCCCAGCACCTTTCATCCTGGTCACCTCACAATAGATTCTTTTTGCTGTATCTTGTGTTCCTTGTTTAGTCTCCCAGCTGAAACCACCAAGTGCAGAAACATCTGAGGAGAGACAAGAAAAATAACGCTGTTTAAAATGAGGGAAAAATCTTACAGAACCTGTCAGCCTCTCTGGAGCTAAACCCAACCTGGGCTTTTCCTAAGATCCCAGCAAGCTCCGTTTCATTCTCAGATGTGCATTCTCAGCTGTTACTGTTGCTTTTACAAGCTACCCTTGTAAGAGTCAATCCAGAAAGTATGGCCTTCCAGGCTCTGGAAATCATGCAACCTGTTGCAACTCAGCAATGCTGAGGAAGTCTGGGCACCAATGCAACAAAAGCTTGTGAAACAGAATTGAAAGAGGTAGTAGCAAGCCCAGGACTGAACTTGCTGCTCCTGCAGAAGCTGTAGATCTGTGGCAAAAGGACATGGTTTGTCTCAGGGGGAAGGGAAAGTCCACTGTACCAGGGTTTAGAGAGGAATATTCTGCACTGGTCTGGTGCTGCAGGGAGCAAACCAGGAAAGCCAAGGCTGCAAATGAACTCCAACTAGCTTTGAGCATCAAGGACAATAAAAGTCCTTTTTCAGATATGCGGGGAGCCGGAGGAAAAGCAAGGGCAACACTGGACCCCTGCTGAACCAGATGGGACAACTGACAACTGACGCCCAGGAAAAAGCCAACCTATTAAATGGGTACTTTGCATCAGTCTTTCATCAGTCCCATGGGACACCCATGCCCTCCACGGGACTGGGTGGTCCAGGTGAGAGAGATCCCCTGCCCTCCATCAACGCTGACCTCATGAAGAAACACCTTGAGAGGTTGGATACCTTCAAGTCAGCCGGCCCTGACAGTCTACACCCCAGGGTACTCAAGGAGCTGGTGAGCATCATAGCTCAGCCTCTGGCACAGATCTTTGAGAGCTCCTGGCGCCCTGGTGTAGTGCCCGAAGACCGGAAGAAGGCCAACACGGCGCCTATTTTCAAGAAAGGAAGGAAAGTGGATCCGGCTAACTATAGGCCCATCAGCCTGACTTCTATCCTGGGGAAGGTCTTAGAAAAGTTTATTAAAGAGGCCATCCTTA